AACAAGGGTAGAGGCTCAGCGAAAGACAGAAAGACCTTCAATTAGATGGATTTACCCAGTGAGTGCAGCAATGGGCTCAAGTGTGCCAGAGATGAAGAGGAGGGCACAGGATAGGAGAGGGTTCAGATTTGTTGTTCATTGCGTGGCTTTACTTGACTTGGCAGCATCCAACAACAACAACAACAAAATAGAATATCATTAGTACTTAAAATTGCAACTCATTCCCACCACTCAGCACTCTAATCTCCCTTTACTTTCTTTACTTTCCTCTTTTCTTCACAATATACATCATGTTTAATATTCTGGAAATGCTACTTTAAGTGTTTCCCCGCAGCAGAATTAAGCCTTGCAAGGGTGGTGATTTTTTCTTTTTTGTTTAGCTATTTCTTCAGACCCGTACCCAAAACTCAGAAGAATGGCTGATAAGTAGAAAACAGCACTACTTGTTGAATTAAATTGTGCTGATAATGTGACACATTTAGCACATGGATGAATATAATATGCACTGATAGCATTGGAGAGAGTGTGAATGGGTAGGTATATAGGGTTATTGAAGGTTTCATGAAAAAATAATGTTTCAACTAAGATTAAAAAGATGACTGGGAATTGTCCATGCAGAACATAAGGTGCTGTAGGAGCAATAATCATACACAAAGTAGTAGAAATGGCACTGGGATGGAATAAATAAGAGCAGGCAGGATGGGAACCAAGTTAGACTCAAGGGACCTATTGACTGAGAAAGGAAAGGTCTGAGACATAAAAGGCCAGAGGACTGGATACTAGTTATCAGAGAGAAAAGAATGTATACAGATTCCTCTTTCTTTGCACCTCAGATTCATTCTCTGATCCTTTCTTCTCTGCTCTTGAGAGAAGGACTTCTAGGTCTGGATCACTAGGTTCAGAGGGACTCACTGGCAAGAGACAGCAGTCAGAGGAGAGCAAGGTCAAGGTATGTGTTTCCCTCTACATGGCTACATTATGGATCCACCTTTTTATGATGACAGGCCCTGTCAGAGGCTCCGTTAAAAAGATTCTCTCAACCAGGCTCCATTTCCATTTAAGCCTGGGTATACGCATCATTCCTCATGTTGCTGGTCCATAGATTGCCTTAGCACTCCTTGCTAGTTTTCTTAACCCTAAAATCATCATTGAAATATCCTCCTCATACGTTCTAGCTTAAGTGCAGCCTTATTCCTTCAGCATCTGTTTGCATCTTTATAGCAGTGAAGACACATCCGTCAGTGCAGGCCAGTAGCAGGCAGAACAAAGTCCAAAATCAAGACCTAAGACTGGTGCTGGGTGACATCAAGTCAATTCTGACTCATGACTACCTCACATGACAAAGAAGTACTGCCTGATGGCATTTTCTTGGCTGTAATCTTTATGGGAGGGGGGGTAGATTTCTAGGTTTTTGCTTCTGTGGAACATGAAGTGAGTTTGAACTGCCAATCTATTGGCAGCTGAGCGCTTAACCTGAGACACCAAGTTTCCTCAGACATGGGACTGTTGTTATTACGTGCCATCAAGTTGCCTGGGACTCATAGAAACCCTATGTACAATAGCCCTTAACCCTCCTTTATCCTATGCCAATCTCACTGTCTCCAATGTACCTACCCCTATTAGTACTCCAGTCACTGAACCAATCCATGTCATCAAGGGTCTTCCACTCCTGTGCTGTACCTCTACCCTCCTAAACATGATATCCCTCTCCAAGGACTGGTCTCTCCTTGCAACACATCCAAAGCATGTTAGACAAATCTTCCAAATCTTTGCCTCCAAGGAGAAGCCTGGTTTAATCCTCTCCAGGAAGAGCCTCTTAGCAGTCCATGGTATATTCAATACACTTCTCAAACACTGCAGCTCAAAGGCATCAATACTCCTTCTATCATCCCTAGTCATTGTCTAGTTTTCTGATGCATAGTGATTAATTGCAAAGACCATGGCCTGTATCAGGCACACCTTAGTCTCCAGACTGACATCATTGCTCTTCAGTACTTTGGAGAGGTCTCTAAGAACAGACTTTCCCATAGCAATATGTCTTTTCATTTCCTGGCTGCTGGTGTCAAGAGTGTTGACTGTAGACCCAGGCAAACTAAAGCTGTTAATAATCTTAATCTCTTCATCTGTCATGATGCTACCAGTTGGCCCAATGGGAAGAATATTTGTTTTCTTGATATTGAGCTTTAATTCATATTAAAGGCTGCAGTGCTTCAATATAGAAATTTATATATATATATCTCAACATCTCTCTATATGTATAGTCCTTCAGTGTATCAACTGGTATACCAACTGATACATTTCAACAAAAAATGCTGCCCTAGATGTGCTCACTAGCTGTGCCAAGGAATCTATCTGGAGGACAACCACCTGACCAACTGACTGGAAAAGATCTATGCTTGTTCCCATTCTAAAGAATGGTGATCCTACAGAGTATGGAAATTATCAAACATTATTTTAATATCACATGCAAGCAAGATTCTGCTGAAGATTATCCAAAAATGACTGGAACAGCACATCAGCAGAGAACTGTCAAAAGTGTAGGCTGAGTTTAGAAGAGACTGTGGTACAAGGGATATTGTAGCTAATGTTAGACGGATATTGGCTGAAAGCAGGGAGTATGTCTATCTGTGTTTCATTGACCATGCAAAGCCATTTGACTGTGTAGATCGCAACAAACTGTGGCTGACTCTGAGAAGAATGGGAATCCCAGAACACTTGATTGTGCTTAAGCAAAACTTATACTTAAACCAGAAGGCAGCCATCAGAACAAAGCAAGGAGACACTGTATGGTTCAAAATCGGGAAGGGTGTATGCCAGGGATGTGTCCTAATCTCATACCTTTTCAATCTATATACAGAACAGACATGGGACTAGAGAAGGATAAATGGTGTCAAGAATTTAAGCAAAGTGAAGCAGAGATGGTGACTGGACAGAAATCAGCAGCGTAGCTTTCAAAGTGGAGTTTACAAATATGCTTCCTGTCCATGCTTCAAAGTGGCCTCAGAATATATAACTAGGTATTTCTGTCATCACAGGAGACTAGAGCGAGGGCTACATGGTGGAGGGGATCTGGGGGAGGGTTTGTAAAACAATGAAAGAATCTTTTCTTTTACTTTTCCATAATTTTTGACTCATGTACTTATAACTTGTTAGTCAAATTTGTGTCTTCTAGGTTGCAACACCCCCATGATACATCTTCAAGGATATGAACATGTACGGCCAAGCACAATCAATAAGAGTGCATCTAAATTCCAAAATCAATCTCCATAATAGTCTATGTGTTTCCTACTGCCAAAGGGGCCCTTTAGAGTAGTGAGAGAAGATCTTCACCCTGAAACCCACAGCGTCCCTTTTCAGCAGGAAGTAGCTAAGAGAATACGCCATCCCCTTTTCCTTATGACTCAGGGTGAAGTCTCTCTCAGGGAGGAGTGATAGGGAATGGCAAAGGACACACTGACAAAGAAGATTAATCAGAACTGGCTTTGACAAGCACTGTGGCATTTGGACAAGAAGAAACTGGGAGGAGGGTAGAGAGAATAGTGCAACAATGAATGAATGGAAACCCAAAATCTCTGTAAATGTTTATGAAAATTAATAAAATATAATTATAGAAAAAAAAAAGTGGCCTCAGAAAGAGAAAGGGAGAGGGAGAGGGAGGGGTGGAGGGAGATGGAAAGGTAATGGGGGAGGGGGAAAGGAGAGAGGGAGGGAGGGAAGAAGGGAGGGAGAGAGAGAATATGTATATGTGGCAGGTGGTTTTTGTTTGTGGTCTAGTCTGAGCCCAACTACAGAAGTAGGATGGTATGATTGAGTCAAGGAGATTGTGCCTTCTTCTCATCCCTTGAGACAGGTCATCCAAAGGCAAATCATAAGACCTGACATTTCTGAATACTTGCTTTCTCAGTCACTGTTCTGAGACATGTATGTATGTTAAAGTTTAACTCAAGGTGACAACCCTATTTAGGTGGCTACGTGGGCAAGGAATTGCAATATTAACCCAGAAGCAAGTGCTTAAAATTTACAGACTACTCTGCAGGAGAGATTATGAATCTCTGAAAACCCGCTGGAAAGTAATTTATGAATTGGTTCTGATAACAGAGTATGAAAGGTTTTGCATGTGCATTGTGTTGATTTTTTTTTTTTAATTAATATTGTGCCATCTTCCCAGAAGAGGAAATCCTGGCAGTGAGAGATGAAGCTCTACATTACACAGTTAGAAGCCCAATGATTGGGAATTAGTCCAAGGAGATTGTTTTCAGAGCCTGCTGCTACCTTCTCTGTGTCTGAGTCTGAGTCCCTAAGTGGGGCTAATAGTTAATCAGGTCTGGAAAAAAAAAAAAAGTTCTACTGTACCTCGAAAAAAAGATCCGGACACTTTCTTGAAAAGCAGCCTTTAAAAATGCTGTGGGACACAGTCCTGGTAGCCAAGAAGAGTAATGGACTCGGTTGTAACTGGGTTTGATAGGTTTTGACCTGGCATTTGCTTAGAGGAAGGAATAGGTTTGTGTGCATCTCCATATTGTGATCCAAATGCAGCGCAGTGTCTGGTACGTAGTAGATGGTTCACAGCTATTTGTTGATTAAACGAATGAACTTTTTGAGGCCCTGTGACTTAGGCAAGATCTGGCAACAGATTCTCCCCAAGAGGCGGAGTGCAAACTTTCTTCCCTGGGACTGCGCTGCTTGGCCACGTCTTTCAACCCAATTGAGTCTTAAACTAAACTTCTGGTTTGCATGCATCTGCACCAAAAGGGAAAGGCATCGGAGGCAGCGCCCTGAACAAACTAGAAAAACAGCTCTCCTCCGCTCCAGAGCCCAGGTTAGGCTCTACTTGGCTTGCAGTAGCAAAGGGAACTGTGGTGCCCGCCACCTGCTGGTGCCGCCCGCCCCGACTTTCCCGGCCGCGGCCACGCCTGGTGGGCGGGGAAACCAAAAGGCAATCTTTGGACTCACTCCAGTGTCCTGGGTCCTACCTTCCCGAGCGGCCTCTTTACCGGTCCATGGAAGGGGATCTGTCTGCATCTCCCGGAGAACAGCTGGAGCTCACGCCCCTCCAGGAGCAGCCAGACGAGCAGACGCCTCTCAATGGAGAGGTCCGGATCACCCCCTCCTCGGCGGAGGAGCGCAGCCGAGCCCAGGTGAGGTCGCCTTGGCGCCGCCTTGAAAGCGCCCGCAGCGTTATCCGAGTTCGCTCTGAGCCAGGCTCCCGGCCACACCTGGCTTCCGGAAAGAGTTTCGGGTTTTCAGCCTGCTCTGCAGGCGTGACAGCCACCGAGAGAGGGTGATCCACAGTTAAATACCCTGAATGGAGTGCTGGGAAGGAAAATGCTTTGACTTCCCACCTCGAGAACCCCCTTTAGGAATCTTAGCTATCTATGCAAGTGTGGCTGCTCTACTCAGAGGTAGCGATGACTTTTTAAAAGTTATGTAGTTTTTAGTTAATTTAGTGTCTCAAACAGGGGAGAACTAGGCGAGATAGATTTAATTTGAGAATTCGTGTCCCTTTTCTACAAGCTGTCAGATTTCTATATAAGTGCCTAGCAAATTTCACTTTTCCCAACCTGGCATCTTGGCTTGACAGCCTGACGTCTTGACATCTTGACGTCTTAAGCCTGACGTCTTGACAGCCTGATGTCTTGACTATCTGGCTTCCTGACCTCACAGAAATCGAAAGCAGAGAAACCAATAGCACTATAACTAGGGATGGTGGTGGAGAGAAGGCGATGAAGGGCTTGCCCAGCTCAATTGAAGAGAAATAATTTCATAATTCTTGTTCCAAAGAACTAGACTACGCCTCATATGTTTTTGTCTGATCTCAAACCCTAAGGGAGTAACTGATGATTTTTTTCTGATTCATCCCTATTAGTGACAGAACGTTATTTCCTTCTACTCACCTTCAGCTTAACTCCTAAAATTGGGCTGAAGTGGACTGTGTAACAACCGCCAAACCAAAATAAATAAACCAAAGTAAATAAACCGACTTCTAGTATGTCACTTCCCACTTAGCAACCCCATTCAACAAAAAACAAAACAACTCATTGCCTTTGAGTCAGAACTGACTCCGGCAGAGGGAACCCTCTGGTGGGTTTTCAGAAGCTGTATTTAGAAATTACTTGGAGATTTCCCGTATTTCTCCTGTGGAACAGCTGGTAGATTGAAACCAGATCACTCAAAAGATACTATGGTTGGCATTAAAATAAGTTCTATTGATATCACTCAAACCCCAAAGCTCTAGAGCCTTTAATGTGTTATATTGCTAACCAAAAGATTTCACAAAGTCTTAACTCATCAATACAGGTAATGTTTTGTTGAAGCTAGGTAGGGAGATCCGGTGGCCTACTAGTAAGAAGCTGCCCTGCAATCCAAAAGGCACATAGTTTGAATACACCGGCTGCTCTATGGGAGAAGGATGGACAGTCTCCTCCCATTCGATTAACTGCCTCTAAAAACCTGCAGGATGGGTTCCAATGATGGTTGCTGGAGTACATGACAGATTCAAACAAGATTCTGAGAATGTTGAACAAGGGATATCATTGCTGATATAAAATACCAGAAAGATATTTAATTGATTTTGCAAAGGCACTGGGCAGGAAGAAAAAAACATGTGGATAACATTTTGAAGATTGAGAATTTCAGAATTGTGTTCATGTGAAACCTATACAGATCATTAAACAGTTTTTTTATATAGAACTAGAGAATATAGCATGTTTAAAATAAAGTGTGTGCCAATGTTGTATCTTCTCACCATATGATGTCAATCTATATGCTGAGCAAATAATTCAAGAAGCTGGGCTGTATGAAGAAGAATGTGGCATCAAGATTACAAAAAGACTCATTAACAATTTCTTTTATACCGTTGACACAGCCTTCTTTGCTGAAAGTAAAAAGTACTTGAAACACTTACTGAAGGAAATCAGAAACTACAGTCTTCAGTATGGATTACACTTTAACATAAGAGAGACAGAAGTCCTCATAACTAGATGCATAAACACCATTATAAATGGAGAAAACATTGAAATTATTGATGGCTTCATTTTGCTTACATCCACAATTAACACACATGTAAGTAGAAGTCAAGGAATCAAATGGAGTTATTGTATTTGGCAAATCTGTTGCCAATGACCTCTTTAAAGTGCAAAAGAGCAAGTGTGTCCGTTTAAAGACTAAGGTGCACCTCACCCAACTCATTTCACGTGCATGCTTCGTATGCTGGACAATGAAAAAGGAAGACTGAAGAAGAATCTATGCCTTTGAAATATTATGCTAGTGAAAAATGTTGAATATACCATGCACTGCTAGACAAACTTGTCTTGGAAAGTAGAACAGCCAGAGGCTAAAGGGAAGATGGCAAGGCTTTGTCTACTGTATTTGAGACATGTTATCAGTAGGGAATCACCACTGATGAGAACATCATGCTTGGTAAAATAGAGGGCCAGCGAAAAAGAAAAAAGAGATGACACAGTGACTGCAACAATGGACTTCAAAGTAGCAAGGAGTGTGAGGATGGGGCAGCTTTTCATTCTGTTGTACACAGGATCTATATATGAGTAGAAACTGGCTTCATGACTCCTAATGACAAAGACCTAGGCAAGGTCTCTGTGTGCCTGAGGGAAAGTTATGTTTCCTCAGCTATCAAATGGCCTTTTGCTAAGGAGTTTAACTGCTAACCCAAAGGCACCTGGTTTGAATCCAACAGGTGAACCTCAGGAGAAAGACGGGCAATCCCCTCCCAAACAGTTTACAGCCTCTGAAGACCCACTGGGGGAGTCAACTACAATTAGGTCCTGACTCAGCTGCACACAACAACAACAACATCAATAATAAATGGTGTTACTGTAATGTGGCCACTTGAATTCTGAGGCCAGAAATGCCTTTGTGTAAATGGTCGAGACTAGAAAACACTGGATACATGTAGTTTTACACTTGTTTTTTAATTGTTAAGCCCTTACCGCATAGCATTTGCACTTTGATGATCGACTTCCTTGTTAGTCGGTATAAATAGCCTAGACTTCCTTGTGAGTTAGCTTCTTAGGTCATGAAACAAGAAAGCTGAGGTGAGTGCCTGGAATATGGTCAAGGTGGGGATTACAAGATTCCAGGAGAGTACTCTAGAAATGCTTAAGCAGGAAAAAGAAAACTTTAAAAAGAGAGAGTAAAAGCACCAGCCTTTACCAAATATATTGGTAATTATCTTTATTCTTTTCACCTTGAAAAATCAAGTAGTTGTAGGGTCACTGGAAGTGTTGGCTAAAACAAGCACAAAGCTCAGACACTTAAGAATTTTGTGTATGTTGTTATTAAACTCCTGTATTCATCACTTGTTCATACCATTGAGTCCATTTCATTTTATTCCGACTCTTCATTGGTTTCTGAAGCCATAGGGCACAACAGGAGACTGCTCATCTTTCTCTAACGGTGCCATTGGTGGATTCGAACCCCTAGAAGCACTGTGTTTGGGTTTTCAGCACAACTCCTTATGGACTACTTACTTCACCAGACAGACTACCAATTCTGTCCTGAGATTTCCTATTTCAAAGCGCAGCTTAAGTACACGTGTTTTTGTACTTATCTTGGCCCAAATACTTTTGATACATAAATCCATTTAATTATTTCCACAAACTTAAGAGGAAAGAATCAATGCTCTGATGGCACAGAAACTAAGACTCAGGGGTATTATTAGCTAAAATGTTCAAGTTCATATAGTCCATCTGGGATTTGAATACAGTTTTTTTAGGTCTCACAGAATATTATTCTTATGCTATTTTGGCTGATTTACAACCTAAACATAGAAATAGAATTTATATTTATTTATAATTACATAAATTACTGATGTGTTGGTGAAGAAAATGGAATATATCATGGTCTTCCAGAAAAACAAGTACAAGTAGAGATATATTTCTGTTTTCCTTAAGGAAGTTAAAGGCTCATTTTACTTCTTTTTCCCTCATGACTTATTAAGCCCTTGGCTTTGGGGGACATTTAGGACAGATCTGCAGTCTTTAATCAGGCTGAAATGTGGCACTCTGGCACTCTCCTTGAATACCAGAAACACACTTATCTTAAGAGCAATTCCTGGGGCTTTTACTGGCCTACTTTTGCCTGTGACGGACTGACCTTAAAGCCAGAGAATAGTGTTCTCAGGGCTCCAGGACAGGTCCACTGCTCTCAAACCTCTCAGTCCTATGACTATGGAGGGAGCCGTCTTAAACTAAGGAACACACATGAACAATAACTCTGAACTTTGTCCTATCCTGAGCCGACTTCACTGTCTCTGACACACCTGACCTCATTGCCACAGTCATTGACAATCCTTCTCATCCACGGTCTTCTGTGATGACCTTTCACTCTTCTACACATGATGTCCTTCTCCAAGGACTGGTCCCTCCTGGTGACATGTCCAGAACATGTGAGATGGAACTTAAAAATCCTTGCCCCCAAAGAGCTAACTGGTTTCACATTAAGTGAAGAGTTTAAGAACAGAAGTCTAAAAGCTGACCTCTCCTCTCCCTCTGTGTCGTTTCTCTTTACCCGGGAAGATAAGACTGGTATTTATTTATATTTGAACCTGAAGCGAAACAAAGTTATCAGTGCATGAGCTCTGTGGACAATTAATGCATTGCAGACATTTCAGTGGGCGAGGTAGTATGGGGCAGCCTGCAAAAGGTTGGGTTTGACCTGGTTCCTGAGGGATGATTAGTCTTCAGACCAGGAAACACAACCTTTAATTGATTTTCAGGCAATTGATCCCATTTTGGGGGCTCAAAACTATAATTTAGGGCCTTGCCCTAACTCCCTAACAATCTGACCCACTGAGTCCAAGAGGGGGCTTAGCATCTGTAGTTTCAAATCCTCTCCAGGTGATTCAGAAGCAGGCTGGCAGTCTCCCAGGGCTGTTAGTGGTGTCCCTAGGATCACTATCCCCATGTGTCAGACACAGAAACACAGTTACACCTTTCTCATGGTTCACATCTTGTTAGTTCCCATCCACTTGGCTAATTTTTGGTGAATTGTCAGATCTTTCTTCATAGGTTTTTCTTGGTCTGAAAGTGCTGTTGAAACTTGTTCAGCATCACAGCACACAGCTGTATTACAAATAGGTGGTAGCTTGTGATGCGCCAGCTGCATTCGAACTCAGGTCCCCCAGGTACACGGAAGGTGCAAGTTTGGCCTCTGAACAATGATTGCTTTCTGAAGCCAGATTTGAGAGTCTCTATTTTAACACCCTCTTGGAAAATGTCAATTAACAGCTTCCTTTTCCTATGGTAAACTAATTCTCGTCTAGTTGAAACCTTCTCATAGCTGACTGCATAGGAAGACATTGCCCATGGAGCCATTGGTGGATTCGTAGCACCAGAGAGGCTTGGCCTTTGTGTTAGCAGCACAGCTCTCTATGGACTATGTCACCAAGGAGGAATGATGAGTAATGATGAGAGGAAGTAAAAAAAGGCATTGATCCTGGAGCAAGTCTCATAAAGTGCGGGCTGCCCTCTGTAGGAGAGGGGAACGCCCTGAGTAATGACCAAGTAAGGATTACTCCCACCTATTGGTCTGTTGACTTCCTAATGTTTGCTCAGCAAGTGCTTCCTGTATATTATCTCTAGTCTTTACGACAGCCCTGTACGCCAGATCAATGGTTTCTATATCTTACAGTTGATTATATTGTGACCAGCCAGACTCAGTATTTTGCTGAGAGTCACAGGACTTCTAAGTGGTACATTTAGGATTGGCATCTGAGTGTGTCTGATGTGGAAACATAAACCAAACCATTCCCTACAGGCCCCATGGTGTTAGCTGTTATTGAATCAGCTCTAGCTCATGGTGACTCTGTATAAAACAGAACACAACATTATCTGGGCCTGAGCCACCTTCCTGGTATTCAGAGCGTTTGAGTCTGTTGTTGTGGTTGCTATGTTATTCAGGGTTCCCTTATTCTCATTGACTCTTTAGCAATTGTTCCTTCTTGATGGCATGTCTAAACTCAGGTCTCCATCTGGTCTCCTAGGGATTGTATAATACAGCAGTGAGAAGTTGGAGAAACATCATATCCCTTTCAGGGGCCAGTGGAAGCTGAGCGTGGGAGCCAGGCACACTGAGGACCAGAGCTCCATGGTGTAATGCTAGGGTCTGTGGATAAAGTATGTACATGAGCTCTGCAGTCATATAGCCTAACCTCCACCACCTGTCTAAAATGGGAAATGCCTGCCTTGAAGGGCTGTTAGGATTAAGTTAAAGGCACCTATGCTCAATAAACCAAAGCAATTGTAATTATTTTATTTGACATTACATGCTGCCTCACTACACCCATTGCAGTTTCTTTTCCAGTGTCTCATGTTATTTTCCCCCTAGACACTAAAGTTTTCCATTGGTTCATCTAATCCCTGTTAGTCTAGCGTGTAAGGAATTGGACTGCAGATGACACAGCTTTACTTACTGAAAGCGAGACTCTTGCTACAGAAGATCAAAGCCTATAGTCTTCAATACGGATTATGTATTAACATCAAAAAGAAAAAAATTCTGGAGGGATTGTACAACAATGAAAGAATTTTTCTTTTCCTTTTCAAAGAGAAGAGTAAATTGTGGGGGGGAGGGGGTGAGCAGGGAGCAAAGTGCAACAATGAATGAATGGAAATCCAAAGTCTTCATAAACTTTCATTAAAATTACTAATAAAAAAAGAAGACAAAAAATTCTCACCAGTGGCCAATGGGCAACATCATGATGAATCGAGAAAAGATTGAAGTTTTCAATTATTTCATCTTATTTGGATCCATAATCAACACCCTCATAAACAATAAGAAAATAAAAAGGCATATTGCATTGAGTAAATCTGCTATAAAGGACTTCTCCGAAGTACTGAGGAGTAATGATATCAATTTAGAGACTAAGGTATGCCTATTTCAGGCTGTGGTCTTTTTTAATCACTACCTTTGCATCTGGGACCTAACAATGAATAAAGAGGACAGAATAAGAATCGATGCCTTTGAGTTGTGATGTTGAAGAAGAGAACTGAATATATCCTGTGAGCTGCAAAATGAATGAAGAAGTATGTTTTGGAGAAACTGCAATCAGAGTGTTCCTTAAAGGAAAGGGTGGTGAAGCTTGGCCTCATACTTTGGGCAGGTTGTTAGAAGGCGCTATTCCCTGGAAAGGGACATCCTGCTTGGAAAGGTAGAGGTAGAGGGTCAGCCAAAGACATGAAGACCCTCAATTAGATGGAGTGACTGCATCTGGGCTCAAGTATGTCAGAAATGCACTTTCTCCAAAACATACTTTGTAAATTACTCCCTAACTTGAAAGGGACTGGAGAGCATTATGCTGAGTGAACTAACTCAGTCCTATAAGGACAAATACTCTTTAAGATCATTATTGTAGAAAGAGGGGAGGGTGCGAGCAGAGGGATGAGGATGGGTTTGTGTGTGGGGGGGGGTTAATCATAGGGTGGCACAATTTTCTGGGTGGAGGGAGGGTGGTTAAAGGAAATGGGAAAGATCCAGTGTCAAAAACAATGTATGTGGACTTTGTAAGTAAATCAGTATAAAAGAAAACTTTTATTAAAATTCTCTTCAATTCTCTATCACAGCACTGCAGACAATATTCTTGCTAATTTCCTTGTTATATTTCATTCTGCATTTTTTCAGTTGTAAACTTGACCCATTAGAGTATAAATCTCCTGCAGTAAAGTTCCTGCTGCTTTCATTTCTGTACAGTAACAGCAACTACTATCCAATTTAGTCAACTTCAACTCTTGGTGTCTCCATGAGTATCAGAATAGAATTATATTCCATAGAATTGGAGGCTTTGTTGTTTTTGATTTTTTAGAAAAAATTTGACTTGAATTAAAGTTGGTGGAGCAAATTATTTCTCATTCAACTGTTAATGCACACTATCTTTTATAACATTAATTACAACACTCACAGTGAAATCTCACATTTCCCAAAGGGTTTTCAGTGATTGATTTTTCACAAGCAGATTATCAAGGCTTTTTTCTGAGATGCCTCAGGTTAGACTTGAACTTCCATCCTTTAGGTTAGTAGTTGATGAGATGCCTAATAGATGCTAAAACATGTTTGTTGAAATCACCTAACTGCCTCACAAATGTCTCTGATTTTTCAGATTACCAAGCAAAATCCCTGGAGCTCCTGTAATAAGACTTTGGTGGGAAAGTGTAAACTATGGATGGTAATTGCATCCATTTTCATCGGTCTCATTATAGTCATCATCATAAGCTTATGCCTTATTGGAGGTAAGAGGATTTAACTATGAATAAGCTGACACCTTTTAAGAACTTTTCTGCTTCTGATTTAACACTGAAGTGGAGGGGCGCTTGCTGTTCTTTCATTATTAACAACAACAATTGGAAACTTGTTTGGAGTATGTTGTGTGTAAGGAGATAGGAATGATTCTTTTAAAAAAAATAATTTCTTGAAGATATTAGATACTAGTCTTATAACTTGTAACTTTCTCTGTTGGTTTTTAAGTGTATTGGGTCTTAAAGAAGTTTCTTAAAACTTTTAACATATGTCACTAATTTATACTTCTACATTTGCTTGCTTGAGTTTTTCCTTCAAAAAGTTTTAAAATGTAAGTAATTCTTGATCTGATATTGCTGGTATATAAAATGATAATGAAATAAAAATGTTGTTTGAGTTTTTTAAAATGATGGAAATGTAATAATAACACACCATATTTGACTTATATTGAAAAGAACAGTGTGTTGCACAGGTGAAGAAATTAATGCTTATGTGGTGCTAAAACAGCTCTGGTAACTTAGTGGTTAAGTGCATGGCCACAAATGAAAAGGTCAGTGGGTTCGAACTGACCTGCAACTCCGAGAAAGAAAGTGTGTCAGTCTGACTCTGTTAAGATTTACTGCTTTGAGAACCTGATGAGGACTATTATTCACTGATCCATGCAGTCACTGTGGATTGGAAATGACTGGGCAGTAGTGTGTTTTGTTTTGCTTATAGAAATTGGCAATGGTTTCAATGTACTTTGACCCATAATCAACACCCTTGATACCAGCAGTCAGGAAATCAAAAGACACATTGCATTGGGATAGTCTGCTCTAAAGGACTTCTACAAAGTGCTAAAGAGCAAAGATATTAAAGATGAAGATGCACCTGTTCCAAGCCATGATATTTTCAGTTGCCTCTTATGTACCTGAAAGTTGGAACATGAACAAGGATGACAGAAGAATGATTGGTGTCTTTAAGTCGTGGTCTTAGAGAAGAGTAAGGATATCCCTTTTCTATCATTCTGTCTTCGACTGACTACATCCATGGACAGATCCATTGGAGAAGCTCAATATCAGCTGTGAAAACTAGACCAGGTGCTAATTGTGGGCCAGGCCATCACCTACTCCTATACAAGTTCAAGCTGAAGCTAAAGAAAATTAAAACAAGTCCACAAGAACCAAAATTTAACAATAATTCCATCCCACATAAATTTAAAAACCACCTGAAGAACATATTTGAAGCCTTGAACACAAATGATCAAAAACCAGACAAGCTGTGGGAGGATATCAAGAATGCCATCCATGAAGAATGCAAAAGGTCATTACAAATACAAAAGATGAAGAAAAGATCATGATGGATGTTAGAAGAGACTCTGAATATTGCAGTACAGAACTGAGAAGCCAAGGCAAAGGGAAGAGATCAGGAAGTTAAGGAGCTATACAGAAGATTTCAAAGGGCTCCTCAAAGGGAAGCCAAAGCAAAGTATTATAATTAAATGTGCAAAGAGCTGTAGTCAGAAAATCAAAAGGGACAAATTCATTTGGCATTTCTTAAGCTGAAGGAACTAAAGAACACATTCAAGCCTTGAATGGTAATATTTAAAGATGTAATGGGCAGAATATTGAATGACTTAGGAAGCATCAACTGAAGATAGAGTACACAGAGTCACTGTACCAAAAAAGAGGTGACTAACACAGAAGAATTTAATGAAACAACATGTGATCACGAGGCAGTGGTGATGAAGGAGGAAATTCAAGCTGCTCTAAAAGAATTGGCAAAAATCAAGACCGCAGTAACTGATGGAATACCAGTTGATGTTTATCAACAAACAGATGCTGCCCTAGATGTGTAAACGACATTGTGCCAAGAAATCTCTAGGACTGGAAGAGATCCGCATTTATTCCCATTCCAAAAAAAGAGTGTGGAAATTATCAAATAATATCACTAATGTCACATATAAGCAAAATACACTGCTGAAGATTATCCAAAAATGACTGGAACAGTACATCAACAGAGAATAGAAGAAGCCATTAGCACTAATGCACATCTTGGCTAAGAGCCGAGAATACCAGAGGAATGTTTATCTGTATTTCATTGTATATGCAAATTTTGGCTAATCTTGAGGAGAATGAAAATATCAGATCACTTGATTGTGCTTATGCAAAACCTTGACCAGGAAGCAGTTGTTGGAACAGAACTGCATGGTTCAAAATCAGGAGAGGAGTGCATCAGGGAAGCGTTCTATCTCAACTGGCAGCACCATGATAAATGGGGATGAGATTAAGTTTGTTCACAATTTCAGCTTGCTCAGCTTCGCAATCAACTCTCTTGGCAACAGGAGTCAGGAGTCAAAAGAGGATTGTATTTAGAAAGTCTATTGTCAGGGACCTCTCCAGAGTGCTAAAGAGCAACACTATTAGGCTAGAGACTAAAGTATGCCTTATCCAGGACATAATGTTTTCTATGCATCAGAGAGCTGGATAATGACTAAAGATTACAGAAGAAGAATCAATGCCTTTGAGTTGTGGTTTTGGAAAAGAGTATTGAGCATACCATGGACTGCCAAAAGAATAGGTTTGTCTTGGAGAGGATGAAACCGAGTTGCAAAGCCTTAGAAGCAAGGATTATGAAGTTCCAGCTGGCATACTTTGGACATGTTTCCAAGAGTAACTAGTCTTTGGAGAAGGACATCATACTTAAAAGGGCGGAGGGACAGTGCAAGAGAGGAAGACCCTGGAGGAGATGGATCGATACAGTAACTGACATAATGGAGATAGGTGTGTCAGAGACAACTAGATTGCCTCAGGATAGAGCAGGATTCAGGGCTATTGTACATTGGGTTGCTGTGAGTCATAGGCAACTCAATGGCACCTAACAAAACCACAACAATGAATATCCGATGGACTGCCAAAATAACAAACACATAGGTCTTGGTAGACGTGCATCCATGGTGATCCTTAAAGGCAAAGACAGTGAAACTTCGTCTCATGTACCTTGGGCATATTGTTAGGAGGGATCAGACCTTCCAAAAAAGATATCATACTGGGAAAGCTGAATGGTCAGGGAAAGAAAGGAAGCCCCCCTACCAGATGGATTGACACAGTGATTGTAACAATGGGCTGAGTGATAACCGAGATGGTGAGGATGGCACAGGACACCTAACAACAACAAACCATCGTGCCAGGACAGCAGCTTGGTTCCAGCCTTGATACCCTGTCTTTACATCAACTCTCACGCCATTGAGTCACTTAGGGTTTTTTTGGTTTTTTTCTTTTCTTCCTCTTATTTTCTTTAAAAAAATAACAACAAACACCCACCAGTTTATTCTTTCATAATATTAAAAGTCAGCAATTTGGATGACACTCATACTGGAAATTCTTCTGACCTTTCCTGGGTACATGATTAGTTTAAAGCATCTAAATACCAGTGGCAGCCACAAGTCGTATTGCAGTCACCTTAACAGCTGTCTGACTTATTGTCAACAAAGGCTGATACTCTAGATTTATTTGGTTTAATATTTAGAATTCTTAAAAAGTAAGACCACTAAGCAATCTTGCATTCTCAAAAAGTCATCTGACCTTTTCAACTCATGACAATCTGTAGGTGAAGCTTCTCATCTCTACCTGGATAGTATTTTAAAGAAAGAAATGAAAGTTCACAGGGTGATAGTCAGGGAAGAGTTTTAATCATGTTTTTAGTTCAAAGTTCATCTTCAGTTTGATTGCTATGTTTTAAAATGTTATGTTTTAAAACGTTATGTTTTAACACGTGTTAATACTGTAAGGGAGCCTTGTCAGTTTTTTTTAATTAGAGAAATACTTTAGCTTATCAGACAGGGAGAGGCCATGTCCTTAGGATGAGTCATGGTAGGCAGCAGGGAATGTGACAGAGGGGAAAAAAAGGGGGGAGGAGCTCTCATAAATCAGCTGACTTATTGCCTTTGAGTCAGAACTAAGACATAGGTGACTCTCTTTGGGCTTTCAGTGCTGTAGATTACACAATAGGAAATCGCAAAACTTTCTGCCAAGGAGCCACTGATGGGCTGAAATGTTCAGAGAGGTGCCACCATTGGGTTAAGCACACAAATCTCTAAGGACTCTCATCAGAGCTCCCTTATATATACATGTGTGTGTGTGTATTTATAGAGAGAAAGAGTTATGTAACAGAGTTGGCTGATCCTTCAGCATGTTTTCAGAGACAGTAAATCACATGCAAGGATTGCCCAGCTTTCTCCCCAAGAGCAGCTGGTGGATTCAATCTGCATACCTTTGCACTGGCAGCAAAATTCCTACCACTAAGCCACCAGAAGTCCAGGCTGGGTTGAGAAGGGGTCGTGGTACTAGAGATATTGTAGCTGATGTTAGATGGATCTTGGCTGAAAGCAGGGAATACCAGAGGATTGTCTGTGTTTCATTGACTATGCAAAGACAGGATCATAACAAACTGGCTGACTCTGAGAAGAATGGGAATCCCAGAACATTTAATTGTGCTAATGCAAAAGCTATACTTGGACCAAGAGGCAGTAGTCAGAACAGAGCAGGGCAACACTGCATGGTTCAAAATTGGGAAGGGTGTACGCCAGGGATGTGTCCTGTCTCCATACCTTTTCAACCTGTATGCAGAGCAGATTATCCGAGAGGCTGGGCTCTATGAGGAGAAGTGTGGCGTCAGGATTGGTGGAAGATCTATTAACAACCTGTTATGCAGATGACACAACCCTGCTTGCTGAAACTGAGGAGGATCTCATGCACTTGCTGCAGAGGGTCAAGGACTGCAGCCTTTTGTATGGACTGAGGCTCAATGTCAAGAAGACAAAGATTCTCACCACTGGGCCAATTGGTAGCATCAGGATGGACAGTGAAGAGATTGAGATTGTTCACAGCTTCAGTTTGCTCGGCTCCACGGTCAACACTCTTGGCACCAGCAGCCAGGAAATAAAAAAGTGTATTGCGATGGGAAAGTCTGCGCTTAGAGACCTCTCTAAAGTACTCAAGAGCAACGGTGTCTC